AGAGGACAAAGAAAATTCCTAAGGGAGGGTCAACAGGAGGTCGCCTTGGTCCCAGGCCCCTGCAGCTACCTGATTTAGTACAGGCTCCAAGAAGTTTATTTAATCGTACATTCCTAGGTTAGACTAAGAGCCTCCTATTTCCACGAGGCTTGATAAATCGTGGAAGGTTACACAGGTTCAAGACACCACTGTCCAGAGTCGGTCCCCAACACAAAATGAGGCCAGAATGCCTATGAATTTTTTTTTTGAGACAAAGTTTCTCTCTGTAGCTTTGGTGCCTGTCCTGGAACTCCCTCTTAGACCAGGCTGGCCTCAAAATCAGAGATCTGTCTGCCTCTGCCTCTTCTGGGATTAAAGATGTATACCACCAAGTAGGGATTCACCTATGAATTTTTATAGAAAACAATTCAACTACAGGCCAATGGTTAAATAAAAGAGATGTAGAAAAGAATGCATAGAAATGTATATATACACAAAGGTGCTTAGTTTGCCAAAAAAGAAGAAAATTACATTATTTGCAGGAAAACTTGTAATGGAAATTATTTTAAGAAAAATAAGCCAGATTCCAAGAGACAAATATTTCATATTGTCTCTCACGTGCAGAATCTACATTTTTTTACAAAGGGATTTAAAGTAGACAGGAGACTCCCAAGTAAGAGGGTGGGAAGACTTTTTGGGACAGAGGATGTAGATGAATGGTGGGTGTGTTTTTCTTAAAGCACATATGAAGTTGGGATGGAAAAATGATGGGGAGGATAAGGGAGGGACTGGCAGGAAGGGAAACTGGGGTGTATTTGATCAAAATTGTTACATGCTTGTCTGAGGTTCTCAAACAATAAAAAGAACAGGGAAAAATGACCTGTGTACAATGTATGCCTCTATGAAATGTCTTAATGAAGCCTATTACTTTCTACAATTACATACTAATTAAAATTTTTTCTTTTTCTGAGAAAGGGTATCATATAGCTCATGATAGCCTCAGCTTCACTATGTAGTAAAGAATGACCCCAAACCCCTCATCCTCGTGATCTACCATACCACCTTTGGGGTCCTGGAGTTATGGGATTGTTCCACGATGCTCAGTTTGTGTGTGGCTGGGGATCAAGCCAAGGACTTCAAGCATTTGGGGCAGATCTCTACCAAAGGAACTGCACTGAAGCCCCCCGCCCCCATTAGCCCTCCTAATTTTGATCTTTCCTGGTCATTTCTTCCAACATTTCATTCCAGGAATCCCAGGGAACCTACTCCAGTTGGGCCTTCTTATATCCACTCCATACACTTAGTAACACAACTCGAAGGGAGTAACTCTTTATTTACCCAGGCCCACTGAGGAATATCCCAGCTGTTGCTCACAATCCTGCTGCACACTGCTAATGAAAACATGACCCTGCTGCAGGCTGTTCCCTAAAGAGTCCCTCACAAAGTGTAGCTTAATGTAAGGGTCCTAAAAAGGCCACACCCACAACTCATATCACCATCTCTTAGGAACAGGGATTGGGGATAGAAAAAAGGATAAGTGAGAAAGAAGATACAGAAAAGAGGATGGAGAGATGGCTCAGTGTTTCAGAGCACTTGCTGCTCTACCAGAGGACACCAGTGTTGGGGTCCCACCACCCACTTTGCAAGGTGGGTGGGGGTTCAGAAAGGTTGGTATCTCCAGCTCTCAGGAATCCTATGCCTTTTGAAGGAACAAGGTATGTGCTCACAGAGTTGTATAAGATGAAAATAAATCTACATTGGGCATGGTGGGTTACACCTTTAATTCCATCACTCAGTAGGTACAGTCCAGACACAGAACTCAGTGAGTTCCAGGCAAGCACTGCTCCTAAGAAATGGAGAAAAACCAGGGGTGGTGGCCCATGCCTTTAATCCCATCACTCAGAGGAAGAGGCATGTAGATCTCTGAGTTCCATGCCACTCTAGTCTACAATGAGAGTTCCAGGACAGCCAAGGCTACACAGATAAACCTATCTTGAAAAAAAAAAACTGAGAGAATCATGGATCAGACAGATCAGGAAGAGATGTTTACCAAGTACACATCTAATTCAGGGTTAATACCCCAAATAAATAAAGAAGCCAGAAAACTGGATATCAAGAAAACAACCCAAATATACACTGGGATACAGATTTTAACACAGAATTTGCAAAAGTGGAAACTCAAATGCCTGAGAAACACTTAAATATTAATTATTCTTAGCCATCAGGGAAATGCAAATCAAAACAACTCTGAGATTCTTATACCTTATACCTGTTAGCAAGGCTATGGTCAATAACACAAGATAAGACATGTGGTACACACCTTTAATCCCAGCACTTGGGAGGCAGAGAGAGGCAGATCTTAGAGTTCAAGGCCAGCCTGGTCTACAAAGTGGGTTCAAGGACAGCCAAGACTTCACAGAGAAACCCTGACTCAAAAAACAAAAACAATGCCTTGCCTTGTGGCCCATGCCTTTAATCCCAGCACTCAAGAGGCAGAGGCAGGTGGATCTCTGTGAGTTCCAGGCCTCCTTTGTCCACAAAGCAAGTTCCAGGACAGCCAGAGCTGTTACACAGAGAAAGCCTATCTCCAAAAACAAACAAACAAACAAAAAAAAAAACAAAAAAAGTAAGAAAGAAAAAAAGTGCATAAGATTCCTCATGCTGGTGAGGATGTGAGGGAAGAGTCCATTTTTTGTTGGAAAGAGGGCAAACTTGTACAACCTTGGAAATCAACAGTGGTTCTTTCGGAAAATTAAAATTGATGGACCTCAAGATCAGTTGTATCACTCTTGGACATATACTCAAAGGACATTTCATGCTACCACAGAGAGACTTGCTCAACCCATTCATCACTGCTCTATTCATAACAGCCAGAAAATGGAAAGGACCTGGATGTTCCTCAACAGAAGAATAAAGAAAGAAAATGTGGTACTGCTGGGTGAGGTGGCACATGACTTTAATCCCAGTACTGAGGAGGCAGAGATAGGTGGATCTCTGAGTGCCAACCCAAGTTGTTCTACAGAGCTAGTTCCAGGATAGCCAGGATTACATTAAAACAAAACAAAACAAAAAAACCAAAAAAAAAAAAAAAACAAACCCCAAAACCTCCTAAACAAAAAACAATAAAACGAAAGAAAGAAAAAAAAGTGGTAAATTTGCAAAATAAAGTATTACTCAGTTGTTAAAAACAGAATGACATCATTGGGCAGTGGTGGTGCTTGTTTTTAATCTCAGCTTTTCAGAGGCAGAATCAGAAAGATCTGTGAGTTCAAGACCAGCCTGGTACATAAAACAAGTTCCAGGTAATCCAGTACTACACAAAGAAACCCTGTCTAGAAAAACAAACAAACAGAAACAAACAAACAAACAAAAGATATGGTGAAATTTGCAGGCAAATGGATGAATATGCAAAAAATCATGGGGGGGGAGTAAACAAGAGACAGAAATACAAATATTGAAGTATTTGCCTATATGTGGATATTGCCTCTTAAGTCAGTGATAACCAAGCTACAATCCACAGAATCACAGTGGATAGGTCTAGAGTAAGGGCCTGAGAGAATAAATAGATATCCTTAGGAAGGGGAAATAAGATAAATAGATATGGATTAAAGGGGGGGGTTGAGAGGATAGATTGGGAAAGGGAGGGGAGAGGGAGTTGTGGGGGAGGATATAGGGAGAGACAGGTAAAATTTGAGGTCTAGAATGAAAACCTAACAGCAGAAATTTCCTAGAATATGTACATATATGAAGGCAATCTAGATGAAATTGCCCACTAATGAGGGAGACAGAGCCCCAACTGACCATCACTTGTCACCCAGTGAAGCTTCCAGTACTGGGACTGGGTAACATCTAATTGAGTTGTTGTTCACGGGGTCCCATGGGAATCCCCAAACAACCAAGCTGTTACCAAGACCATAGCTTGCTCTTGACAAACAGGCAGCAAGCCCACATTGCTGAAGACAACACCTACAAAGCTCAATGAACAAGGAGGAGTCAAGCTGGTGCCTACACAGAGCCTTCACCCCATCATTCCAAAACCTTTGGTACAAGAAGGCACTCTGGCTGCTATCAAAAGAGAATCATAAACCCAGCCTAGCCACAGACCCTTTGACTTACAATCTGTCCTGTTTGCAAAATATGCTAGGACAATGGGGGGACAGAGCTTGGGGGAGTAGCCAACCAATAACTGATTTGACTCAAGTCCCCCTTAATGAGACAGAAGCCATGCCATCATTGTTTGGGTGACAAAGAACCAGAGATACATAGTCCAGAGCCCTAAGGTAAAACCACGTATTACTGTTATAAAGAAAGGAAAGATACAGTGATAAACTTACTGCTAATGACATTCTGCTATATTTGTAGATCAGTGCCTTGCTCAGCCATCATTAGAGAAGCATCCTCCTGTTCAAATATAGAGAGAGACCCACAGCCAGATATTACACAGAGACTGAGAGATCTTGAAACACTCTGCCCTAAATGTGATGTTTCCTACCATTCTGTCCCTTCAGAGATCAGGGAACATTTTGGAAGAGGAGCAGGAAAATGTATAAGACCCAGAGGGGATGGAGGACACCAAGAAAACCAGGCCTTCTAACTCTACATGATCAAAGCTTATATGAACTCACAGAGACTGAAGAAGCCAGCCCAGGGGCTGTCTGGGACTCCATCCGGTCCTCTGTGTACACATTATAAAATCCAGTTTACAGGTTTCTTTTATAGCAAATATATTTATTTTTAATTTGCAGTTCACAAGTGAAAATCATACAGTTTTACACAACAATTTCATTTGGTTAAATTTGCACTCATCTAGAGAACTTTCCCACAACAAGCAACTGAAACTGTGCAGGCAGTAGGAAATGCAAATACTAAAACCCATTTATAAACCAAATGATAGCTGAAGGCCCTGCCTCAGCTAGACAATTTATAGAGATAGATGTCTATAAGTACATAAAAAATTCTTGAACGTCTAGATCCAACAGCAGCTTTTGTTACAAATACAAAACCATACTGTCTCATTTTTTTTAAACTGACTCAACTGTATCATTTTCTGTTTTAATGTCAGTGGTTGTTGCTACACTTTCTTCTGAACAGGCTGGTGGGGCATCAATTGTTTCTTCCTTAACTTTGGGACTTTCACAGGGTTCTTGCAATTCATTTTTGACAATGTTCAACATAACGTTAGAAGGGTTTTCAACTGGCATCTTGATGGCAGATGGTGTACAAGCAAAAGAAGATGTATTTTGGTCACCTGCATAACACGATGGATGGTAAATCTTTCCGTCTACTCCAATAGCATTTTTTAAGTGCCATTCCTCCTCTTCTCTATCCCAGGACTGTTCAAATTGTTCTTGACAGATTTTACAACTCTCAAGTGCTCCAGCTGGTCCAGCAGGGACACTGTGGAACTCCTTTTCTTTAGCAGCCTCCTGAGTTTTGAGGACAACCTCTTCATGAACCAGTTCAAAAAACTGGCTTTTTCTGCGTTCTTCCAGATGATCTACTTCTTCAAATTCTATCCAGTCTGTTAAACTGTAGTAGCAATGCTTATGAGTGACTTTTCTGCTAACATCTTTCTCACTTCTATTTTGCCGATAATGCCAGTCCAAGTGATCTGCATAAACATCTCTCTGGGATGTCGGAAACCTCATTCCACAAGAAGAACACTGAATCCCAGTGTACAGCAGGTGTATGAAACTGTCATAACGTTTCAATTCTTCAGTTTTAAAATGAGTGAGATCTGGAGCATCTTGATCTTCATTCTGATCCTTCCCCTCTTCAGGGGGACGCTGAGCATCAACCTCATTTACCTGGGTTATAGCTGAATCAGGCGGTGACCATTTGAGAATTCCTGTTTTTACCAGTTTTGAAAACAATTCATTTACATCCACCTCACTGAGATGATGATCAGGATAGGCCTTAGGAAGACCTCCTGAAGGATTTTGAATAAAAGTTCCTGCATTCTGTGCATGAACTGGTAACAATTGTTGTCCTTGGCCAAATGCTACTGGCTGAGGAATACCAGTCAGAACCTGTTGAGATGGCTGAACATCTCCTCCTGACATTGGACTAGGTAAATTGCCCAAGTTTCCCAACTGAGAATTCTGAAGATTCTTTTCATCAAAAGAGTGTCCTGAAGCTCTGGTAAGGGCATTTGGGAAATTCTGGTTTTCACGGCTTTGAGGTCCATTAAAATTTGGTCCTTGAGGTGTATCAAGTATTTGTGCATGTTTTTGGAACTGTAGTCCTTGAGATGGAACATTCAAAGCATTGACAGGTGGGTCATTATATGGGCCAGTCTGATTGAAAGATTCAAGCCATTGTGAACAATGATTGTCTTGTTGGTGACCTTGCAGAGCAAGAGGAATATCAGATTTTTTTTTTTTTTTTGGTTTTTCGAGACAGGGTTTCTCTGTGTAGCTTTGCGCCTTTCCTGGGACTCACTTGGTAGCCCAGGATGGCCTTGAACTCACAGAGATCCGCCTGGCTCTGCCTCCCGAGTGCTGGGATTAAAGGCGTGGGCCACCACTGCCCGGCTGGAATATCAGATCTTGATGCTTGCTCCTGTTGTGGTCCATGAAATCTTTGAGGTACACTACCAAATCTCAGTTGAACCTGCTGTCCACGTGGCCCAGCAAATCTCTGTGGACCTGGCTGAAGAGTTCTTTCCAATCTAGGACCTGGCTGGCCTTGTGTTCCACCAAATTTTGGCAAAAGTGATGGCAGACCTGGTTGTCCATCAAATCTTAAAGAGTGACAACCTTCAAATCGTGGACCACCTTGACCCAGAGGTGATTCAATTCTCAGGCCACCTCCTGGTTCAGGACCCTCAAACCTCATTCCACCTCCCTTTTGTACTAAAGGTCCTTCAAACCTGATCCCAACACCTGGTTGGCCATGTGGTCCCTCAGAAATAGGGTTCCCACCTAGTTGATTATATCCTTCCAATCTCAGACCAGCTACAGACTGACCCTGGGGACCCTGAAACCTCATTCCAGCAGCTTGCTGTAGCAAAGGGTCCTCAAATCTGATAGTACCACCTGGCTTACCATCAGGACCATCAAACCTAATTGCTGCCCCTGATGGACCATGACCCCCCTCAATTATAAGTCTATCTACAGGCTGACATCGAGGATTATCAAATCTAAGAATGCCCACAGGCTGTCGATGAGGGCCTTCAGACCTCAGACCACCCACAGGCTTACCCCCAGGTCCTTCAAATCCCAAACCACCTGTAGATCCCTTAAAACTCACACTAGGTGAACTTTCAAATCGAAAACTGCCGCCACCGCCGCCTCCTCCTCCACCTCCACCACTTCCTCGAACAATTGTCTTTTCAAACCACAGAGGTGTTGCTACTGGTCCTCGAGAAACTTCAAATCTCAAAGGGCACCCACCTCCTAACTGACCATGTGGTGCTTCGAATCTCATTGGGCTTCCTCCCCCCATTTGTCCTGGTGACACATCAAACCGAACAGAACCTGGTGTAGGAGGTCCATCAATTCTAGGGCTTAATTTGCTAGGTCCTTCAAAAATCATCTTGGCTGGGCCATCTCTTCTCACAGATGGCCTACCAGGCCCATCAAATAATGGTCCCTCTTCAACTAAAGCTGTAAGCCACTGATTTGTATTAAGGGCAGCAAATCTTGATGCTGAGCCATCTATAAATGGTTTGTCTGAATCTTCATATCTAGGTCGCTTAAGTGGAAATCCATCATTGAATGGAGATCTCTGCTCCTCTCCTCCACCTTGTTGATACTGAAAGAGCTGTTGAATTTTATGCACAACAACAAGGAACTCAGCATGTGAAATTTCCCCAGAAGCTAATCGTTCACTTGTCCTTTGAAGGAATTCTCTCTTTCTTGCCAGACTTATCTCTTTAGGAATCTGAAGATTGGCATCTACCCTTGGTCGATAGTGCTGCTTTGGGCTTCCAGGTGACAAGATTCCTTTAGTGCTTGACCAGCTCTCCTCATGCCTTAGATGAGGTGCTTTACTCTGGTCATCACACTGTTGGAAGCTTTGACTTTCTTCCCAACCAGATTTTCTTCTTTTGGCCAACTTGGAGCTTTGCCAATTCTCTATATTCTCTTTTGGCTCAGCATCTGACTTCATAGAATGTTTACTTGCAGTTTCTTGAGGCTGATCTTCATGCATGTTTTTCAGCAGTCTGGGAACTTGAACATCCTGCTTAGTACTTCTTTTAACATTTCTTTCTTCCCTCGAAGGTGCTGGGAACTCTTCCATATGTGACTGTGTAAGTCCTGACTGTTGCATCTTTCCAGCTTTGGAGGACAAAGTTGAAAACATACTTCTTTGCCTTCCTTTGGGTGACCAAGACTTAGGTGACCTCGATCTTGATCTCTTTTGAGTGCTTGACCTCCCTGGTTTTGTTCCCTGTTTTCCCAATTCTTGTGTAACCATGTCCTGTTTTTGCACAATGCCATTTATGATTTGACTTCCACCTCCAATCAGCCTGTGTTCAGATGATTTCATTTGCTCATCTTTTTCCTTCTGAAGCTCCAGGTTTTTCTGCTGAAGTTCTAACAACTGTTTTTGTTTTTCAAGTATCTCTTGCCTTATTAGTTGTTCTTGAGTAAGATTCTTTTGTATGTCAGGTACAATTGGAGGAGTGGAAATACTGGGGGAGCTGACCACTGTACCAGGTGCTGAAGGCTCCTCAGGTGATTTATTTAAAAAATTCAGATTCACGTGGATGCTACATGTCTTCACATTAGGCAGCAGAGGTTTAATAGGCCAAGCAGGATCTATTGAATTGACTCTGACATCCAAGTCATAAAGTTTCTTCAAGGGGAATATTTTATCCCACGTGAAACGTAATTTAAATAATCTTTTTCTTGTATTTCCATCCACCTTTTCAAACACACAAGTAAATGTTGCAACTAGATTTTTAGTAAAGGCAGTGAGATACTCTTTTCCAACATTTTTCACAATAGAAGTCATAAGGTACATAAGAGGAAGTTTCTCTGAGGAAGGAGCCTTGGCCTTTTGGGCCTCAATGACAGAGATGGTTTCCTTGGCTAAGGGCAGGTTCTCCTCAGCTACAATGGTCAGCATATTGATGTGCGGTTTGCTATTGAAATTCAGGTCTTCCAGTGAAGACTGATAATCGTGACAGATGTCTTCTAGTGTCCCAGCAGCCCCAGCCTTGGCCAGTATCTGCTCTGACATTGTGCTGAGGCAGCCCTCCGAGGTCCGCTACCAACTAAGGTGAAGTTGCTGGACACCCCCACCCTTCTGAAGCCTGGGCCTTGCTCCCTGGTTCTCCTGAGGCTGGGGCTTCAATGCATGCACACCTTGGAAAAGGATGGGGGACCACCAAGTTGGAACCTTGGGGAAGAAAAGTCACAGCCTCACCGGGAATCTCTGTCCACTTCCAGCTCTCTAGGAGCATCTGGATTCTGTTAAAGTTTCCTTTCTGGTATAAACTGGAGACCAGGTGTCTGCAGGAGTATCTGGATCCTGTTTAACTTTTCTGCCCTGTATCTGTTCAAGGTGTCATGGCACATTCCTGAGATTCTTCCTGGAACTGATCACAGCAGGTGGTCTAAGAAGGTGATCCTTTCCCTAAGATGAAACATGTAAGGTCAAGTCTGAGATGGTGGCCCTTACCCTAGGATGGAGCCTGTGAAGTTAAGTCTCGACCTTCACACAGACATACACGCATGCAAAACAGCAGTGCTCAGTAAATAACAATAAATACATTTTAAAAAATTGGTGGGAGGTCATATCACACACCTTTGATCCCAGCATTTGGGAGGCAAAGGAAGGTGAATCTGTGAGTTTGAGGCCAGCCAGCTCTATGGAGTGACTTCCAGAACAACCAGGGCTATACAGAGAAACACTGTCTCAAAGAAACAAAAACAAACAAACACTGAACCATGAAGAGCATCACTATAACCTTGGAGAAGAGAATGGTGCACACCCTGCTTCTAAATGTTTGAGATTCTGTCCTAATATGTTGTTGTTTGTTTTTTGTTTGCTGAGTTTTAATTGAGCTGTAAGTCTTTGTTGTGGACAGAATTTAGGATTCTTCTATGAAGTATGTAAAGCCATTAAGCAATTGTGAGAAAAGATCCGTATTCTTCTTTTGCTTTTTAGATGTGCTAATTAACTTGCACTCCGATGCCTTTTTCAACAGCCACTCAAAAATCTCAATTGCATGTAATTAAGAAATTCTAAGCAGTCTTATTAAAAGAAGAAACACAAGAGCCAAATAAAAAGTTAAAAGCCTAGAGATAAGAGCAGTAGCCAAGAGCTAAGACCACATATTCTTACCAGATGCCATCCTTCCTCCAAGACAGAGAGACCTTCTTCCTGTGCCCTCTCTTTTTATACCTTTCTGGTCTGCCTTCTGATTCGTTCTAAACCCAACCACATGACCTCCTCGTCACTGCCTGTCTTTATAAACCACCAGGTCTCTATGGTTGATACTGGGATTAAAGGTGTGTGTCACCATGCTGCCTGTGTCCTTGAACCCACAGAGACTTTGCCTGCCTTGTGATCAGATTTAGGGTGTGTGCTAACACTCCCAGACTTCTGCTTAATGTCTTGCTCTTAGTTCGGATTCCCATGCAACTTTATTTATTAACATACAAATAAAAGTCACATTTCAGCACAAATAAAATATCACCAAATTTCCTCTTTCTATTCTAATAAAAAGAAACAAGAAAAAAAATGTTATAACTAGTATAAAAACTATATACAATAAGTACAATAACTATATACAATATGTACAAACAATGAATACTTAAACAATTTCTAGTCCATTTGCATTTGACAAACTCAGAGTAAATATTCCATTATCTATCCTATTTTGGTAAGTCCAAAATGTACCTGATTCACTTTCTATCCTAACTTATATTACTAACAGAACTATCTTATAATATCTTTCAAATTTATACACTTACACCTCTTTAGGGAGTTTCTTTTCTGAAATTCTTAACAAGGAAAACTGAAACTATCTAATCTTTAAATATAATTATTGTTGGACCCCAAAGTTTAGTGTCTGAGGTGGGGGCCCCAAGAACCCAGACTCCAGTCCAGTTGATGCAATAGCATGAGGATTTATTAAGCTTCTATATAGAAGGGCAAACTCTGCTCCTAAGAGCAAGGGCAGCATCTTACTGCAGCCCCATAAGGGCTTTTAAAGGAAAAACCCACAAACCCCACAAGATTACAATTTCCACATAATGTCATTTCATTGATTTATGTCTAGAAGCTAATTTCATAAAATCATTGTCTGGTTACAGAGTGATCACAGAGGGGGTACAGTTATGTCAACAGGTACATTTTTCCTGAAACCTCAAAGGAGGGTATCAAGACAGGGAGTGGAGTTTACACAAAGGTCACAGTGGTCCTTCCTGGAACACCTGCAACTATCCCAGTCACAGTTGAGCATATCTCTTAACACAAATCTTTTTACATTGTTATATGGTTGCAGGGGAGATTGAACAACGGCTAAGTCAGCTTGCTCTTGGAACTAGATTTTTAGTTTCTCATTTCCTGGTGCTTGAAGTTTCTCTTTTCCTGAGGCTTGGAGGTATAAGCCTGAATGGTTAGGGTCTTTCATTCCCTCATTTTCTTTTTGGAAAATTTTAATCTTAAAATTATGGTATTATATTTAGTAACTCATGGCTTATTCTAGTAACTCATGGCCTGTAATGGCCATGTATAGTCCATGTATAGTTAGCCATCTTGTCTCTATGCCAGAGAGTTTTCTTTTGACCCAGCATTTCAGCCTTTTTTGAACAATGAATATGGGACGATGTATTCTCTCCTGGAACTGCTTCGAGCTGGCATTGGGGCGCCATTATCAGGGCCCCTTTCCCAGAAGGCTGAAAAGCTGGTCAAAGACTGGGCAGGGGGCATTTGTCAGTAGCATGTAGCTGCCTGACCTCATTGGGACAGAGAAGAATCATGTTAGCTGTGCTGGTCCATGCTAGCCTCTAGCAAGTCCGGAGCCCACAGCTGTCTGGAGCAGTGGAGTCAGCAACTGAAACTTGGAGGTGTCTGCCAGCCAAGTAGAAATCTGTTGAGACAGATTTAAACTAGTTAAAATTTATGAACTTATTTGGAACCCTTAGGTCCATACCCTTAGTAATGGGAAAAGCAGTAGTCCCAAGACCAGGAGAGAGGAAAAATACCATCTTTAGGAATACTCATCTGGGGTTCCTTCTATATTTGTGAAGTGGGTCTAGGTTTTTATGCCTCTTTTGATTCTTTGAAGCCTACTTACAAAATGACACAAAAGTTTTAGATATATTAGCATTATCAATCTATACTGAAATCTATATTGTAGACAAAGCAGGTAATGGGTATCTGTAAAACAGCAGAAGCAGACTCACCTTTGAGTCCCAACAAGAACTACAGATCTGGGCATTTTTTCTTCTGTCCAGAAATCCAGGTATAAGTTGGACAGAGATTTTTGGCCTGTTGATAAGCATTTTTAGGTTTACATTTAGACATATTTAGATGATATCTAAAATGTTGAGCTCGTGACTGAACAATAAGTAGTCATGTTCTACCAGCTCATCAGGACTCCTAAATGTTAAGCTCTGAACCATAGAACAGGAGAATAATCTGAAACATATCTTATTTTAGTCTGAATCTTTATGACTTATTTAAATTTTTATATCTTAGAACATTTTCTTAAAAGTAAGCTAATAAGCTAGCTATGGCCTTGTAGAAGGGTCTGGTTGTCTGATGCTGCCATGCTGATAAAGTTAGAGCTAGCCTAGCCATCAGTACTGTCAGAGATCTGAGATGGATAAAAAATATCTGAGTGCAGACCAAGAAGCATCCAATCCCATAAATTACAGGGACCAATCCCTACCCAGGTCTCCATAGCATTGGAGGCACCAGTCAGAACAACATCAATCTTCTTCTGCCATCAGGCCCATAAGGCAGAGTACTTTTTCTGTGGAATTGGGACACGGAAGACTGACCTCGATTCCAGTGTCCTACTGCTTGTCCACAGTCTGGGCTAGGTCCTGGTGGCAGGCGTTGCACTGGGGCATCTTGCCCTGTGGTCAGCATTGTCATAATCCAGGCAGAGACGTTGTGGTGCCTTGTATGTAATCTTCTTCAGAGACCTTGGGTCATTGCTAGGATCTGGAAGCCTGTCTGATAGAATAAACTTTTAGATCAACATTTAAATGCCATATTCTGCAGATCTCTGAAGTATGAGGGCTGTCCAAATGTCTGAATAGACAAACTTTTTTTTTTTGGTTTTTTCGAGACAGAGTTTCTCTGTGTAGCTTTGCGCCTTTCCCGGAGCTCACTTGGTAGCCCAGGCTGGCCTCGAACTCACAGAGATCCGCCTGACTCTGCCTCCCGAGTGCTGGGATTAAAGGCATGCACCACCAAGACCCGGCAAACTTTTTTTTCTAACTACTTGTTTCAAGCTCAACCCTGAAAACATATGCAAGGGACTGAATAAATTAGTAAATTTATCTCTGTAATATTACATCAGTACTTATTTATCCTGACTTCAATTAAAAAGAAACTTGATTGCTCATGACTGATTATTAAAAACAATGCTTTTAAGGTGAAGCTTCTTCTAACATCAAATACAGGTACAGTAAAGAAACCAAACCAAAACATCAATATAAGACATATATATGTACCAGCTTATCCAAATAACTTAAGCTTAAGAAACTTAGCAAATACAAGGAGGCTAGACAGCATTCTTAAGCCCCAATGTAACTTGGGTAAGGAGAAACATTTTTAAGTCATTGGTTTTTAACTATAAAAACTGTTTTTAAAGAATTAAGATCTTTCAAATGTCTTCTGTAATAACAATGAAGTACCTTTTTTTTTACTTTAAGGGGGAGCATAATCTGTATAAAGTAAACCCAAGCTCCAGAATACAAACAATCCCAATGTTTATTATCTGGGACTCATTTATAATCTTTTTGGTTCTTTCATTCAGAGGCTTGGAAGATTTCTTTGACCCTACCTGTGGCAGCACACACATAGCCTGTCTGCTCTATTTTATTTTGGCTCATGTTTCCAGTGATCATCACCTGACATTGGCAATTTTAAAACTGCCAAGGTCCATTAGACTCTTTTTTTGAAACTTTAGTTCTGCCATCTATTTGTAAACCTTAGCTGTTTTCTTTGATTCTTTTATGTTTTTAAAATCATTATCATTTTACATGGGTAAATCT